AAAGTGAAATAATCTGCCAGTGGAACTAGTATTATTTGAATCCAAATGCAGATTTTTATTTGCTAAAAAAAATTCAAACCATGTCATTTCCCTTCTCCTTCACATTTATGCATTACTTTGTGTTGCTCTGTCACATAAAATCTCATTTAAATAAGTGGAAGTTTGTGTTTGCATAGCGACAAAATGCAAAAAAAAAATAAATACTTTAACAGTGCCCCCAGAAAGCATTCGTAAAGTATTTACAGGTCTGTCGTGATAAAGATGCTTCCCAGTAATGAGGCGCTAAGTCCCATTTATTATTCCTAACAAATCCTGACGGCCTTTCACAGTTTGCATCATCGAATAAATCGCAAAATCTGAATAAGGCCTCTTCGCATAACAAGTCTCTCAGTCCTGTTAAGTGAGCCAGGACCAGTTTGGCCTCAGCCTCACATTTAGAGGTGTGAACGTGGCACGACAGTGAATTGTACTCATCCCTGATTTTTTTCTTTTCTCACCAACACTCCCCCTCCTCCATTAAAACAAAAAAAAAGACCAACACACACAGGCAGACTCCCCATCCCCCGCCCTTTCTTCCCTTTCCCCTCCCCTACCAACACAAGTCTGTGATGTGACAGTCTTAGATAAAAAAAGGCGAGAATTTTATTGCAGCAGTCTGTGAGGCTGGCAACAGACCTCCTTTGTGACCCACAGCTGAGGGCTCCCTGGTGTTGGGCGCCCTCTGTTGGCCGCGTCCTCTCGGGTTCCTGCACTTCAAAGTGGGAGATCAAGGGCCGACTTGCGCATGACATCCAGAGAATGACAATACCACAGCCAGCCTACAACTGCTGCAAGGTGCCTGCTGCAGGACACAAAGGCATGCAGGCAGCTCCCGCGCTGGTTCTTCTCACGGAGGAGTGGGAGGCGGGGGGGTTACATACAGGAAGGAGGCAGTGCAGCGACTGTGGTGGGCAGAGGCTACATGAGGGGAAGTGGAAGGACAGCAGAGGAGACAGGCTGGCAACAGATTGTCTGAGGTGTCCTGTTTGATTACTGAAGCATTAATTGATAAGATTCATCACTTATCTTTATGTTTCTTTGAACTGGTTAGGATTGGTCTGGGGGCGAAACGAAACATGTCTATTACATTTCTTTTGCACAAAACCATTCTTAGATCAGTTCTGCTTATTTAGTTTTAGGGTGTCTTGTCACTCTAAATCTAAATAAGCTGCTGCTGGCCACAGCCAAAGAAATAAACATTTACACTCGCACGTGAAAATGATTGCAAACAAATGCGCAATCATGAAACCGTACATCTTTGAAAAGCAGAAGTGGAGCCTTCTGTAGAACCAACAGAAACCCAGAAATGGTTTCTGGGTGGTAAGTCAACACCAAAACGCTTGTCTTGTCCAGTAGCCTTTGTACAGCGTATACAGAGGTAAAACCAGCAGACCAAACGTGCTGCAGCTTCACTGGCGTTGCTAAGTGAGGGGCAGTCACTGCTAAATTGTGTCGTTATATTCTGGAGGTTTTTAAAACGGCTCATTTTCCAGACATAAAAACATTACATTATTGCTGAAAATCGTCTGGGTGTTTTTTTGGCCAGTATTAAGAACCATCTGAGACCCAAATGGAAGTACAAACATGCAAAACGTGAATTTTGCATAACAGGTCCCTTTAAAACATCAGACTATTGATACATGACAGTGAGGTCAAACAGCTTTCTGACCGGATTTTCCGGAATATAAATTGCACTTTTTTCATAATTTGGCTGGTTCTTCAACTTGTAAATTTTTTCCTCTTCATGACACATTTTTTGACTGACACAACTTGTACTCTGAGCCAATAGGAAAGTACAGTACGATCCTCACCTGCCAGCTGAACCCACACTCCTAAAATAAAAGAAAGCATGCATAGCTGATGTAAACTAGAAAAAGCAGAAATGAAACTCACATTTTTAACAGAGCCAAGGACACACCTGCATCCACACTGCAAAAACACAAAATATTACCAACTACTTTTGGTTTAGTTTCTAATGTAAATATATATGCACACACTTTAAATAAGACAAAACTAACTTACAAGTAACTTTTCAGCAACAAATCGGAGCTTGTTTTAAGAAAATAACTACTTAATACTGATTTTTTTTAAGTTCTAGTTCCACTGCCAGATTATTTCGCTTTTAACAAGACATTTCTCCAATGTTATCAATGTTTATCAAAATTAAGGAATTATTTACCTAAAAAAAAAAAAGCTCCAACATTTTGTTGAAAAGTTACTAGTAAGTTAGTTTTGTCTTATTTAAAGTGTGCTCATATATTTACACTAGAAACTAGACCAAAGGTAATATTTTGCGCTTTTGCAGCGTGGATACGGGTGTGATCTTGGCTATATTTTTTTTAAAAAGCGAGTTTCTTTTTTTTTTTCTAACTTACATGAGAAATGCATGCTTTTATTTTATTTCCACTAGAAACTAGAGCAGAAATAGTTGTTAAGTTTTGTGTTTTTGCAGGGCGGCCCTAGAAGCCGGAGTGAGGGGGAGTGGGACCAGCGGCGTCTTGTGATCAGGCTGTCATTTCCTCTCCTCGACTCTGTTGTTCCTGAAAAAGGCCTTTGAGAAGGAGCCAAGTGGTCCTGGCAGTGACAGTAGGTGGGCTCCTCGCGTGGATCTGGTGAGACCGTCAGAGGGGGGAGAGGAGGTCTGGTTGGGCCCCTGGCAGGCCGAGACGAAGAGAAAAACAAACACATTGATGAAACAAGACGGAGAAATCCTGTCCCTGGTGGCGAATACACTTCACAGCAAACCAGAGGTGATTTACGGTACAGTAAAGAAAACAATCTAAATGATGACAAACCTGTCTGGTGCAGACTTATGATGGCAGCGTGACTGCAGATCTTGAAAGAAAGAGGAAATGAGAGTATTTAAAATTGAAACTCTCCTTTCTCCACACTACAACCACAAACTTCTGTGTTTTATTAATGTTTTAAAGAAATAAACACAGAACACACCACAACACATAGTTGTTAAGTGGAAAGAGAATGAAACATTGTTTTCTACAGAAAATAACCTGAAAAGTGTGGCGTGCATTTCTGCAGACGCCCATTTTTATTGATACTCCCATAAAAATCACCATGAACTTTTGATCAAACTATATCCAGATGTTAGAAAGACCTAGTCAAAGTCCAGACTTAACTAAATTTAATAGCTAGTGGAAGGAACTGAACATTTCTGAGTTTTGTTACAAACATTTCAGAAAGATGCTGCAGCAAAAGACAGATTAACCAAATGTTGACTCAGAGAGGTTGCATATAAATGCACACCACACTTTTTAGATTTTTAATTTGTAAAATGTTTTGAAAAGTTTGCTTCTACTTCACAATTATGGGGAGTTTTCAGTTAGTATATCACATAAAATATCATAAAAATATAGAAAATGTGGAAAATGTGACAAAGTTCAAGGTTTATGGATGTGTTAGTCAGATAAGGTAGATGCTGTAATAAAGATAAAAGTTATATAATAAGTTAACTCTCTCATTATTCAGGTTATTAAACCCAGAGGGTATAATAACCTGATTTCTAGCAGAATTAGATTCTGATAGAAATCCAAAAGGTTTTGTTTTAGATTATCATCTGTTTGCACTGATGTTCTCATAAGGGATCAAAAGGAAAATACAAAGGTTCTGTGAATTCATCCTTCATAAAGTTCATGCGTTTTTCCACGAAATACAAAAGTCTTGCAGCAAAAACGTCAAAGGCGATTATTTGTAGCCCCATTCATCTTCCCATCTGACCTCCACTGACAGACCAAACCTGGAGAAACTCTGAAGGAGCTGCAAAGAACCACAGATATTTAAAGAGTTTAAGTTTAAAATCGGGTTGTTTGAAACGGCAGAATGGTTGTGTGGTTGAATGGTTATGGTTGTAGCGTGACTGAATGTGAAATTTTCCATACAGCTAAATTATACTGAAAAATCGTAAAACAAATATCTTGGCCTTGGTTGTGAAAAAAACTAATCTAAAATTTTTTAAATTAGAAATAGAAGTAAAAGTAAATAAAAGTAATAAAAGAAATAAAAGTAAAATGCATTCCTTCATGATGGCATATGACATTTTATTGATCAAAATGTAGCATGTAAAACTGGACCCGGGCTAAAATGACAAAAGATTTCCAAATTACGACTAAAATTAAAATATGTTTCAGTCAAAATTATGACTAAAGGACATTAAAATGTGGAGTTAAAATTAGTAAAGAAATTGTTGACTATTTATTGATACAACTGAAGAACAAAATAAAGTTGTAAATTATTCCATTTACTGTCTATGCCCACTTAACCTACAAGGTGTCTAATAATCATAATCATTTCATAATTAAATTTATTTATAATTATCTTTGTGTATTATACATACATAAATGTTAATATTATATTAATTCCCTATAATAAAATTTCAAACAAGAAATTCAATGTTTATTTAAACTATTTCTTCAAATGACAAAAGATTTCCAAATTATGACTAAAATTAAAATATGTTTCAGTCAAAACTATGACTAAAGAAAATTTGAATGCGGAGTTAACGTTAGTAACTCTGATCAATTAAATTGATCGGAGCAGTTTAAGCCCAACCTTTTAACTTCCACAGGTAAGGCTGACAGCAACACAAAACAGTTTAATAATAAATAAATACTACGAACATGTGTCCTATGGATGGTAAAAAGGTGTGTTGATTATTCATGTATGTAAAACCTTTTGATGTATGGAGGACCATAACTGACATAATTAAAAATAAACGCAGAAATATATGTATTTTGTGTTTCCTTTTCCCTATACAAGTGTTTTCATAAAAAATGTATATATTTTTTATTTTCCTTATGTGTTTTCATCAAGAAATGTATATATTTTTCTTTCCTTTTTCCTTCATACTTGCGTTTTCATGCATAACTGTAGTTTGTGTATGTTATTATTAAATAGCCTAGACATTTTTTTTGCACTGCCATACTTACTTGCCGACTTTCATCCTTAAAAATGTCAATTTATTTGTTGTTTAAAAGTAGGTCAAGGAGCGCCCTCTAGTGTTTAACTGAGTTCTCCCACAGGATCAAATCAAAGTGACGTGAATATTTTTGTCACATAACACCGCAGGCCCGCGAAGGACACACACACTTTCCGGGTGTTTAAAATTAGATGTGTGTCACCTATCCACGCAGGTCGCTAGTTGTCCCTCGAAGAACAGCGAAACCCAGCCGGAGGGTCGAGTTCAGAGTTCAGGCTAAACAACCAGAGAAATGGTGGTCTCGGTGAAAAACGACACCCGGCTGACCAGTTCTCAGAGCTTCCTCTGCGCTGGTTTCGCTGGTTTGTTCAGCAAAACCGTCACGTCTCCTCTGGAAGTGGTGAAGATTAAACGTCAGGTGGGAACTTTTCACGGCAAAGGCGGTTTCCTGCAAACTTTTATCGTCATCTACCAGAATGAGGGACTTCGAGGATTTTGGAAAGGGAACATGGTCTCCTGTCTCCGGCTGTTTCCATATACAGCAGTTCATCTAACCACATACAAGAAGTAAGTTTAGCAGGGAAATGCATAATAATGGGATTAACTGCCTCAAATTGTATCTTATTTTATAGCTGCTTGTGTTACTATTCATTTATTACTTCACTTTTTGTACATACTGACTTTGCAAATTGGCGCTATTATTTGGATGAAGCATTTTAAGTCGTGTGATGTTTTAAAATATAAAAAAAAATGCTGTTTTGTTATTGTTTTACCGTTTACTTTACAGATACTGAAATACTTCCTGTTTAGACCGTGTGATACGCACCCTCTTGTTTTCAGCCAATCAGAAGCCTCCATTTACTCAGTCGATTTTTAAACGGCAAGATGTTTCGTTTGCCCGAAGTTTTGTCTGGCAGGTTATGATAATAGGTTTAATCGGTACTTTATAGAAAATATATTCGCCAGAGGCAGAAATACAGTATATAAGACAATTTTAGAGATATAACAAAAAACAATATTATATTTTGCCTCCTAACTTCACCAGCTTCTGCGGATTGGGTAAAGTTAATACATTAGGACTCAAACTTTCATTAGGAATATAGATTGATAAGCTAACTATTACACAACTTGTAAATCATCTGTTGATTAAAAAAGTAACAAGTTAAAAGTAATGGTTGAAACTGTTCAACATTGAAGTAAATCTATATTACTACCATAAAATCTTATAAATTGATAATTCATCATTCTATAGATACCAAATTTTAAAAAATTGTTTATTAGTTTAATATTTTTACATTTTTTTATTAATTTTATTAGATTTCATGTTGAAAATTTTCTTCCTTACTTAAATGATGTAATTAAATACTGTGAAATTAGTGCAACATGAACGAGAGCATTTTTGAAGTTATGTATTATAGAAGAAAAATGACTTGTGTTCAAAAATGACTTATGTGCTCAAAGTATCTTTAGCAATAAAAACCTTTAGTTTCGTTTAAAGAACATTTTTAATGAATGCAAAACACATGTCTGTAAATTATACATGTTTAGGAATTGGGCAAAATTAGCTTGTTGAGCTGATTATTAACTTTTAAATATATTTGACAAAATAAATACTAATCACATAATTATTCAGCTGTAATAAAGAAACTGTGTTTCATGTTTAAATTGTTTGGGGTTTCTAAAACTTGCTAAAAGGGGAATTCCTGCCTGTGAGACTGAACTGAGGGCAAACGGAATGAAATCACATGTGCTGGGTTACCAGAGGGCAAAACAAACTGCTGATCTCCGACAGCATGGATACAGGAAAAAGGGCATTAAGCTGAGCAGTAATCCAGCAAAGAGCAATAAATCCGGCTGGTCATGCTTTATAACACGTGTTTGAATTCCTGGTTTTATAAAAGTAAATTATTCAGTGCTCACCTTTTCCTGTCTAGAAGCGACAGCAGCAACTGTTCCAGGAAAAGAAACCCCCTTCATCTTAGCTCATGTTTTTTTTTTTTATTTAAATCATATTTCCTGTTGAAGGTTTCAGGTTATCAGCCTGAAAAGTAAAATACTGAGCATAAACATCCACAGAAATATTTATGTTTTTACATTTAAACAACAGTTGTAGTTTTTACACCAATGTAGAAAGTGCTTAATATATTAAACAAGATCCACAACACTTGTTGAATCTACTTAGATAAATGAGATTTTAAAAATGTTATTGCCTAAAATACAATAAAAATGTGAAACCAAAACTGCCACTTGAGGAGTTTTGAGCAAAACATATTTACTGACAAAGGTGTTTATATAATCTTTTATTTATACAGGAACAGTCTCTTGAGACGCATTGTCTCTTTTACAAGAGACATTATATGTTGCATTCATCACAAAAAGACAAATGCAAATGAATAAAAAATGCAAAATGTATATATTTTTTAATTGATTTTGTTTAACTACTGCTCTAAATATATTGCTTTTTCAGCAAATTACTATTTTTTTGAGTATGCATACTCCAGTTAATCAATTACTAAATTACTAGATTATATTATTTCAAAGATCGATTCATCACTGTTCATTATTGACCCCTGTTTGTGTGCAGGATCGTCCACCTTCACATGGATGAGCTGGGCTTCATCTCCCAGTGGAGGGCCATATTAGCTGGCGGACTGGCTGGCGTCGCTGCTGCCCTGCTCACGTATCCTCTGGAGGTGGCGGAGACCCGACTGATCGTCCAGAACTGCAGACAGCGGACCTACATCGGCGCAGCTCACACCATCTCAAAGATCTACAGGAACGAAGGCCTGCCTGCTCTCTACAGAGGATTCTCCCTCACCGTTCTGGGTACGCACAACTCATTTATTCAACACATGCGTCTGACATCGATACTAAATTATTTTCTACTTCCTCCATCTTCTCCGCCTGCAGGTGCGGTTCCCTTTTCAGTCGGATGCTACGTGGTTTACATGAATTTGGACAAGCTGTGGCAGGAGCCGTCGTTTCGCTTCACTCCTCTGCAGAACTTCATTAACGGCTGCATTGCAGCGGGAGTCGCTCAAACGCTCTCATACCCCTTTGAAACCGTTAAACGGAAAATGCAGGTGGGTAACAAGCAGCTTAACAAATTTAATTTGGTCTGTTTTTCCTCCATTTTGTGTTATTTTTATAAATTTGTTAATGAATAATATAAATGACAAATTCACAAAATGAACCCTGCGAACAGGAATGATAGTTCCTGAGAAAAATGTGTCTTCAGTGGGTTAAAGGAGAAGAAAGTTGTATAAATTCACATATGAAAAGGAAAACATAAAACTCTGATATTGTTTTCAGTTTTCTGGAAACTGTGATTTTGATTATTTGGATCCACCTTTGAAATTGCACAATATCAGAGTAAATAAAATATTAAATGTTATGTTTTGTCAGAATTTTAAAATTAGGCTTTGAAAAAAAAAAAAAAAAAAATTATATATAGCTTTTATCAATGGAAAAAAGCAGACAAATTACTTTCATGTAATTTAAAAGCAATACATATTTGTCCTGCCAGTACATGTAATTGGTTCATACATTTTTATTTTTGAGAAAAATTATCCCAAGCAAAGTAATCTTAAAATGGGAAATGTTGGATACAAAATAAAGTATTTTTCCATCTGTTTTGTTGCCACAAAGTTTTCTAAATGACCTTGTTTCTTTTCATGCTGTTTTTAATTACATGAAAGTTTCAACTAAATCAGAAAATATTCAAAAGAAAAGTGTGACTTTTGTTAAATATGAAATAAGCATCAAGAGATTCATTTAAACCTTTGTTAGTTTACCATGTTATTTCACTCTTTTCTTGCATTTATAGTGGAAGGATGCCAACAAAATTTTCTATTTCTGTACATATTATTGGTCTAAAATCCTCTAAAAATGTTTGACTGCTCTAAAGCAAGTAGGCAATACACCGATCAAGCAATACACTTTTTAAAAATATGTTTACTTACTGGATATACAAACTGGATAAATGGTGATGTGGTTTGTATAATGTAACTAACATTTTAGGTTTAGAATAAAAATGCAGTCAGCTGCACAGAAAAATATAAATATGGTTAGATTAGATCAGATTTTATCCCGCTTCAACTTGTTGCACAAGATCCTGTGAAGCCGCTTTCCTGCCACAGTTTCACCAGAAGGGGGCAGTAATGAGGTGTCCAAGTTATTCACTGAAGCCTTAGAGGCCATGAACGACCTGAACGACGACCTTTAATGGACAGAAAAATACATCTCTGCTTAAAAACATGCCCATTACATAAGTGATGTGGAATTAGTTCTGCGTGTTTAATAATCTTTAATTTGCATTTCAGACCCTTCTGGTTTTATTAGGAAGGACACACAGGGAACAATGGTTCTGCAAAGGACTGGGCACTTCGTCCGGGTTTCGTCTGCTTATTATTAGCTGCCACAAGGTTTAACAGCAGCTGGGAATGTGAATGTGCCTCAGGTCCGTCAGGCTATAGATAAGTTCTCTAAAGATAGACTGTCAGATAGCAGCAGCTCTGAAGGATGTGCATTTCCAGATGATACAAACTACGGCGCTTTATTATACAGTTTTTATTGAAATGCTTCCATTTAATGAGAAACGTACGGTTAAACATTAACCCACTGCAGAGAAAAGATTAAAAAGATGCTTCCAGAACCATAGGGTAATGATTTAAAATGAGCGCTGTCCAGTTTAACTTCTTCTTCTTAAGTTTATGTGTCAGCTGGAAATTTTAAGACGCCCACATGTGACCTCAGCAGCCGTAACGCCCACATGATGGCCGGCTGGATGTACGACAGAACCTACGTGAACTCAGACGCTGAGGGCGCTAATGGCGGCTCAGGAGGTTAAATATCTCGAAGTCCAGCAGAGTCAGAGGGGAGGAAGCCTGTTGGAGGTGAAATGACGTCTGCAGCCTAGAAAAGGCGATACAGGAGATTTCTCTGGAGAGTTTCTAAACTTTTTTCTCCTTACAAATTTGTTCTAGAGGTTTAAACCTTTAAAGGACACAGGTGAAGTTCAGTCTGTGGTTAAATAAAGAGAACACAACTCAAGTTTTGTGGCAACATTTACTCCTCTTTACATCTAGTTGATGACATCTTCCCCTTCTTAGCTTTACCCAAAACATTTTTAACCAGCTTGTTTTATTGCACTGAAGATGTTTTGTTTAACAGCAAACAAACAATTCAAGCAATCTTTCCAGAGAAACATTTTCCAGAAAAACCCTGAAATTTCCCTGAAATATTCCTGAGGAACTTCCTCCTAAACGTAAATGTCCAGATTTCTAGTTGCTGGTCGTCTTTTTTGTTGTTGTTTTGTTTGTTTTCTCTTTAAAAAATATTTCAATCATTTTATTGTATTGGCATAATCACCCATTGAAACAGTTGCTTCAGTTTAGTTTATCTGTATAGTGACATCTTACAGTAAATAGTAAATTTAGGAAAATCTAATATTTTATTTAAGTGCATTTATTCATCTGGGGGTAAAATATATACTTTAGAGAGATATTTTTCAGCTAAATAAAGGTAACGGAAGCATTTTGTAAATTAATTTTAATTTTGACTTCCTGTTTTCCTGGGGTATAAACACATGAGCCTGTTTCCTTGAGTTACTCCTTAAGAACAGGAACTAAAGGAAAACGCGCTGTCTGAACAAAGTGGCCCAAATCCTGAGTGACAAAAATTCATTAAAGTTTACAAGAAAAAAAATCTACTGTCACAATAATTAAAATGTTTAAGATGAAAATAAGACTGGATCTGGGGATAATTTTCTTAAATAATCATGCACAGTAAAGTGGAAAACAGAAGAAATGAATGCAGGTGCACCACAAGGCTCAGTACTCGGCCCACTTCTTTTTAGATTATGTATGTGTGATTTGTAATATTTGTCTCCTGGTTCAGGTTTCCAGGTTTATGCTAATTTTAATGCAAGAGGTGGGTAGAACATCCTAAATAATAAGTAAAAGTAGCTTTACTTCAACATATTTTTACCCAAGCAAAAGTAAACAGGAAATTACTCAAGAGTAAAAATAATTTGGTAAAAAGTTACTTCAGAACAGAGTAACTAAAACATCTGATTCAATATTTTATGATAATGTTATTAGACAAACAAAAATAAAAAGCTAAAAATCCTTCTGTGTTAAAAACTGAAATATTTTTGCAACATATCCTGCTTATAAAATGGGGAATATCCCACTTTAAGGTGTAAAAATACATACAAACTACAGAAATAAATCTGTTTTCTACACATTCTTCAAAACGTGTTTACATTTCATACTTGAAAATGACCACAGATGTTTAAAAAGCAATCTTGATGTTTTAACTTATGGGTATATTACATTTTTATTTCTTTTTCATTATTTTCTAGGCACAGAGTTCTCGTCTTCCCCATTTTGGTGGCGTTGATGTCCACTTCAGTGGAACGATGGACTGCTTCATGCAGGTTATCAGAAACAAAGGCGTTCTGTCGCTGTGGAACGGGCTGACGGCCAACATGATAAAGGTGCCTCCATGCTTGATTGTGTCATAGATTCATTTGGTTAGAAAACTGATTTCTGTGCAACAAATAGCTCCCACGTGCCAAAGGAAAAATGTGTAACACATGATCTATGCAAAGGCAGGAGTGACGCAGAGTGACCCACTGCAGGAGAACAAGGTGGAACAGCATGCGCCAGTCTCCAATTTCAGCTGCAAATATCTTCAGAGCTGAACATTGTCTCACGCATGATGATCTAATTTAAAACAAGACCGCGCTAAGTTCTAGAGAAACAATCATTAAGACTTAAAAGCGCACATTTGAGGTAATTCAGGTCAAATTTCCTGTTATTTGAACACTAATCAGATCAAAACTCTGTCATTCCCTCACAGATTGTTCCTTATTCTGGTCTTCTGTTCACCTGCTGCGAGATGTGCAAGCAAGTGTGCCTCTACCGTAACGGCTACATCGTCTCACCTCTGAGCTACCAGCCCACGCCGGGGGTCGACCAGAGCCTCGGGCCGAACGAGCTGGAGGAGGTCAGGCGCTACTGGAAAAACAGGAACTTTGGGTCAAGAGAGTCGTCTTTTGGGAACCGCTGGTGAAGCTGGAAATACGTCCTGCTGACAAAAAAAATGGAGGAAAAGTCAAAAACATTCACTAGACCCTCCAAGAGACTAAAACTAAGACTATTTCAGAGTTATATCATTTTTATCTGACAGTATTAAGCATAAATTGTGAGCAATTTATGACTGCTTTATGTAAAACTTGTGCCTTTGGTGTTGAGTATTTATTTTGGCTCCCGTTGCAGTTTTTGCTGCATTAACTTCACACTGTGCCACAGTCTATTCCGAGGAAGTAGACTTAAACTGTAACGATTGAATCTGAGCTTTATGATCGTAAAGAATCAAATGAATGCAACGGTTTCATCCTTCAACAGAAGCAGGCGTTTATCTGCTGACGCAAATTGTTATTGAAGGAATTAAACATTAAAACTGTTTACTTTTAACAAAACCTAAGTGTTTATTTTTTTGTGTACCCCGAAAAGATAGAACTGCATCCAAAAGCTGACTTAAAAAAAAGAGTTTAATGTCTTAAGAGTTGATTTATTTCTAAGCAAACTCTTTAAATTCTTCTACAATTTCAATGTATGACACAAAGCAATGTTTTATTCAATTATTTTAGCAATCGTCGACCTTCCAAATTCACATTTTATTACTACAGTTATCTTTATAAAGCAGTTTCTCATAAAGAGAAACTGCTTTATAAAGATAACTGTACATCTACACCAAATGTATTTTGGTGGTAATAACTTTGTACATTAAACTATTTATGGTAGAGTCCAGTATGTTCTGTTTGCAGTTTGTCCTCTACCTTGTAGTATTTTAGGGCAACACAGCGTGCTACATCCTGTATATGGCAAGCTGTCATAACATGTATTCATTTTGCAAGCCTGCTCGATAGTTGTTTGGATTTCAGTAACATTTAACCTCATTAAAATCACATTTCATATTATTTTTCCAAGAAGAGCTCTAAGTCTGCTTTAAAATGACTGGAATGCTTAATGAATGTATATATTTTTTAACTTTTAAGTTTCATTTAGAGTTGTAACAAAAGATTAATTTTTATTTAGCCACAATTCAGCCAACATGATTATCACACACACCTGACGTTTTTGTTAAAGTTTCATAAACTTAATTTTGAAAGAAATTAATTTGGAAAAATGTCTCTTTAGCCTAATTTTGTTATTTAGCAATTATGTTATTTATATTGATTATTTTCATTTTGGTATTTAACATACCAAAATTTCCACATATTTTGGTCTATCTGATGATGCATTTCTTAAGTATTAAATAATTGGTGTGCTGAGTACTTGCGTAGCCTTTTCACCAAATACTTTTTTACAATTGAGTAATTTCATGAATGGCTACATTTTACTTTTGAGTTAAAATATGTTGAAGTAGTGATACTCTAAGAAAATATGAATTGGAAACGTTAAATTAATTGATAAAATGACCTGCCTTAAGAGCTGTGACAGGTTTTACGTGGACTCAGTCAGCTGATTGACTCATGTCCTTCTCAGTGTGGGAAACATGCCGACAGCCAAAGGACATCAACAGATGGGGTGACCTTTACCCACCATAGTTTTCAGGCCCTGGCTGCTTCAGACTGGCAGATGATGCGACCTTTAACTTTAATGAGAGAAAAGAAAACAAATCACAACAAGGTGAAAGTAAAAGGAACTATCCACAACTTTTCTTGGTAACTGACAAACTCCCTCTTGTCTTGTGGGACGAAAATATGTCCTTTTATTCCCTGCGTGACCATGGAAACCAGCGTATCCAACTGACAGAACGCCTCCTGGCCCCGCCCACCGCACTCACAACCGACCAATAGCAAGCGAGAGTCGAAGTTCACGCTTTTCTATGCGTTCAGCCTCCTTAAAACCCCTTCAAGTCCCGGTTTGATTCTGCCATTTCAACTCCACCTGCAAACCCCACGGAGCGAGCAGCGGGACGGCGTCCGGAAACACCCGAAGATGACTGATACGGCTATCTCCTTCGCTAAGGACTTCCTCGCCGGCGGCATCGCCGCTGCCATCTCCAAAACAGCCGTAGCCCCCATTGAGAGAGTGAAACTTCTCCTCCAGGTAGGCGTTATTCCTCTCTATGCAGAGTCGCCTCAGCTGTTGATGCGGCATCCTTAAAACAGCTGACTCTTAGATCCTGACCTGACGCAGTGATCAGTGCTGGTAAAGATTTGTTTTTAAAGCATGCATGCTGCAGCGTCAGCAGCAGAAAGTAGGCTATTAATAGTAAATCTCAGCAACTCTTAGTTTAAGAATGAGCATATTCGAGGCGAACCAGACCAGTTATGTAATAGTCAGGCCTGAAAGCTGCAGCACTCCACGGGAGGAAACACAGTCCCTTAACAGGCTCATATGGTCATCTGCTGCGGCGTTTGGGGGAAAAAAAAAAGAAAAAAAAAAGCAACATTTCTTCTTCTATGAAGAGTGATGGTTTGGCTTAAAAACTTACAAACAAGGTCGTAGGAAGGATTGCGCCACGAGTTTGCACTGCTGCATAGGGGCCTGGTTGCAGCAGGAGGAGGAGGAGGAAGAAGAGGGGGCGGGGTTATGAATCCTTGAATGGATGCGTAAAGAGTTGATCCAGCATGCATGCAATAACAGATTAGTGTAAAATAATAATGTCATTTCCTGTTTTCCTTACAGGTGCAACATGCCAGCAAACAGATCACAGCCGACAAGCAGTACAAAGGCATTGTGGACTGCATTGTCCGCATCCCCAAAGAGCAGGGCTTCCTTTCCTTCTGGAGAGGCAACTTGGCCAATGTCATCAGATACTTTCCCACGCAAGCCCTCAACTTTGCTTTCAAGGACAAGTACAAGAAGATTTTCCTGGACGGCGTAGACAAGCGCACGCAGTTCTGGAGATACTTTGCAGGTAACCTGGCGTCCGGCGGCGCAGCGGGGGCCACGTCGCTCTGTTTTGTCTACCCACTCGACTTTGCCAGAACGCGTCTCGCTGCCGACGTGGGCAAAGCGGGGCAGGAACGTGAGTTCAAAGGCCTGGGTGACTGCTTGGTGAAGATCTTCAAGTCTGATGGCCTCAAAGGTCTGTACCAGGGCTTCAACGTCTCAGTGCAGGGCATTATCATCTACAGAGCAGCCTACTTTGGCGTCTACGACACAGCAAAGGGTGAGTCTACAAACTTTCTCCTCTCAATGAGCTCCTGAACTTTAGGGAACTAAATTAACCTTTTGAACTGATGCATCTCTTTCAGGCATGCTCCCAGATCCCAAGAACACACACATTGTTGTGAGCTGGATGATCGCTCAGTCTGTAACTGCCGTCGCCGGTCTCGTGTCCTACCCCTTCGATACCGTCCGTCGTCGTATGATGATGCAGTCTGGACGCAAAGGAGGTAATAACTCCAACTTGATGCCTTTATAGCTTAAAATCTCTGTTTGTGGTCATGATTGAGACCTTTTCTATCTTCTCCTCAGCTGATATTATGTACACCGGCACCCTGGACTGCTGGAGGAAGATCGCACGTGATGAAGGCAGCAAGGCCTTCTTCAAAGGAGCCTGGTCCAATGTGCTCAGAGGCATGGGAGGAGCCTTCGTGCTCGTCTTGTACGACGAGCTTAAGAAAGTCATCTAAGTTGATTGTGTCTCTCCACTGTTCATGTTGTTAAATTTATCTGTAACATATCTTGTACATTTGGAAGGACTTAAATACCTGAGCTATATGTTTATAGGGGACCAACTAGTATTTTTTTACTAGTTGTACCAGGGGAATCTGTTATACACTTGTGTTTTTTTTTTTTTTGGCCCATTCTTTTCCTTTTTCTTTTTTTTTTGCCCCTCACAAGAATTTCATTCCCTGACTGCAAGAACTTTGCCAGAATATGAGAAATAAAGGCAACCTACTGCGTGAACCTCCTACCTGGTTTCTAACTCTAATGTCATGCATGAATGGTTTCCAGGCTGGCAGCCCCTTGAGAGAGCTGTAAGCTTAGAGCTGCAGGTTGTAGTTGGGGGTGAGCCAAAATCAGCTGAGAAAGTTGAGCTGCTGACAATATTTCAAGTCACACTTGCAGAAAGGTGATAGGCAGGTAGTCTGGGAGTTTGACGTTTGAACTTGCTGCAGAGGAACTACTAGGATTACATGCAGTAGGGGTTGGATTATTACAACCTGCTAAATATACTTTGATCTCCTGCTGTGCTCTGTCTGTCTGTCTGTGACTGTTGTGACAGAGGACTTTGTGTCCTTGAGCTGATTGACAATTTACAAATATGACACAGAAGTTATTTACCGTCACAGCCAAGATATCTGGTGTCTTTAGACCTTAGCGAGATGCTACAGCTAAATAAGCCCCTTTAAGGTTTGGATCTGCAGCTCATACACTGGATTCCTCCTGACACATGATCTGTCCAGCATAAAGAGTTGCAGGCTTTGACCTGGTAGTGGCATGTACAGGAGAGGACACAATGTACTGCTTGGTCTCTAACCAGGGTGTGTACTCCTCCTCCTGTTGGTAGTATTTGCCCTTGTGCAGTCAGTGTAAATATGGAAGAATTGTTTTACAGGTTTTAAATCTACTCAGTGATTTGGTGTTGATACTTTGATTCATCAAGTCATTTTGAGATGAATAATTAAGTTCCAGTTATTAAAACTTGGATAAATGTCAGTTGCCCAAGTTTCACATTCATGTCATTGTGGTTAAGGTTTTTTCCTCCTGTCGTAATAATTAGATCTTGAATCATTTTGAGTTTAATTATGACTGTGTCCTTTTCTCACTCTTTAACCTTGTGAATGGTTCTCTAACCACACCAGTTAAAGAAATTAAATCTGACAAGACAAGGCGGAGACAGACTCCTTTAGCAAATACTCAGATTGTCTCAGCTGGACTCTAGTCTAATCTCCTCTGCAGTAGTATGAACTTGACCTCTGACCCAGTGAAGCAGATTCCTTGTTCAACAGGAATCAATGCTTTTTATATCCCTGAGAAACACACCGACCTCATGCTGCGTCTATCGACTGCAGGATATTGACTTACCATGAAGGAATTTAATGCATTTTATGACCAAATTTAGAAAACAGTTTATGTTTTAAGACAATTACATAACATAATGATCTAGAGATAAAAACCTCTATATTTTGATTTATTTTTGCTGAAAATATATGAAACCAGATATTTCCATACATTATAGAAAACATTTTTTCATCGTCATATGGTTTATCCAGAATAAGCTGTTCCTGCTTTAGCCCAGTTATTTCCATTTTCTAAATACCAGAATAATGAGAGAATTTCCTGACTTTTTCAAATTCAGAAATTTGCATACACCAAGACTGTTATGTTTTGGAAAGCCCAGATGTTGACATCAAGATCTTATAAGCAGCGCATTTCTCAACATCCAAGTTCAATTGAAACATGTTTCACACCAAGAAAAAAAAAAAAGGAATTGGTGTGGTTTTGGTTTTAATTTTTAACAGATTGTAAAACCTTGTAAAAAAAAAAAAAATCTAGATGGTCGCGCAACTCCCTGAGCTGAAGGAAACTAAGTTGGACAGAGGGAAACGGGATGGACGGATAAATGGGAGGAACTAGGATGCATGGATGGATGGAGGGAACCAGGACTCATTCAGATGTAGTTTAGCCGTTCATCTGAGTCTGAAAGCAGCTTCACATCAGGATGGTGGAGTTAAATCCTCGTTTTCTCCTCTCGGATCTGCCCATCAGGAGAAGCTTGCTGCGTCTCCCCTCTTCCAGCCTCCATCGGCTCAGTGTGATGTAGTGACTCAACCTGAGGAGGACGTCGTTAGGCTGTTTGATCTCAAATCTCCCACAGCAGCGGCACTCCAGATGAGCGAGTTGTAGCGACATGACGCCAACCCATTTGGCTCGTTACTGACTGTACCGGCGTCTGATTGGGTCAAGCTGCTGCGGGAAACATGAAACTCTCCCTCTGCTCAGACACAAATCAAAAGGAGAAAGAGACAGGCTCACAAATCACTTGGAGAAACCCTGACTTCTGTCTATAGCTCTAGTTCTAAGTGGGAACACTGTCTATATTTCTATTTCTAAACAGGAATACCGTTTACATTTCTAAGTCTCTGGGCTGCTCTTGGTCCGATCCCTCACCTAGAACCCGTTTGCCCCAGTGGACCCGACCCAACTAGAGGCATGAAGCCTCTGACAGCTCCTAGGATCACTGGGACACTCAAACCCCTCCACCACGATAAGGTGGCAGCCCACGGAGGGGAAAAAACAGCCAGAAACAGTTCCCTTCTCTGACCTGAACTGATCTGGAGAGAGGCCAGAAGGTGGCGCTCTGGTGTTTCTAACTAAACAAAAAGTTTAGTTAGAAGCACAAATTTTCCAACTAAAAAGTTTAGTTAGAAACTAAAGTTTTTGTTTTCTGTTATTTTTCTCTCTGTAGAAGTTACACCTGGTCTGGAACATGGAAAGTTCTCCTGACCAGTCAACCTGTTGTGCGTCTGCTCTGTCATCTCTGCTCCAGTCAGTCATGGCAGATGGCTGCTGGTACTGAGCCCAGTTCTGGTTCTGCTGGAGGTTTCTTCCTGGTAGAGGGGAGTTCTTCATCTCCACGGTTACTACATGCATGCTCTGTGTGAGGGATTGCTGTAAACTCCATGACTCAACACAAGTGATTTGCTGTTGCCCCCTGCTGGTCAGGAGGAGTTAATGCTGCAAGTAATGACTCCATACAATCTACTGGGTTTGCTTTGGTGCAAAATTTTTAAACAAATGTAATAATCCCAATGCATTGATAACTTGGATCAATAGTAATCTATGACTGAATTGAAACAATTTTGTAAAATGCCTTGAGAACAACGTTGTTGTGAACTAACAAGTTTTGAAAGTTTTTGGTATCTAATTTAGGGGTTTTGAATGTTTTGATATCTACTTTTGGGGTTCTGAACCTTTTGGCATCTACTTTTGGGGTTTTGGACGTTTTGATATCTACTTTTGGGGTTCTGAACCTTTTGATATCTACTTTTGGGGTTCGGAACCTTTTGGTATCTACTTTTGGGGTTCTGAACCTTTTGATATCTACTTTTGGGGTTCGGAACCTTTTGGTATCTACTTTTGGGGTTTTGAACTTTTTTGTATTGGTTGCTGGGTTTTTTGTTTGTTTTTTTATATTATTGGTTGAGCTCATAGTTTGAAAGGCAAATTTTATACATCGCCAATTCACAACAAATGTCATCTCAATGCACTTTGAAATAATTTTAGTTCAATCTCGTTTTCCAATTGCTATTATTTAACAGTACAATAAGCTCAGTTGATAAAATGGTTTCAAAATTTTGTACCAAACGACACCCTGCAGATTGTATGGAGTCATTACTTACAGCATTCACTCCTCATGACCAACAGGGTCGACAGGAAATCGCTTGTGTAGAGTCGCTGACTTTACAGCAATCCCTCACAGAGCATGCATGTAGTAACCGTGGAGATGAAGAACTCCCCTCTACCAGGAAGAAACCTCCAGTAGAACCAGAACTGGGCTCAGTACCAGCAGCCATCTGCCATGACTGACTGGAGCAGAGGGACGACAGAGCAGAGACACAACAACAGGTTGATCAGGAGAACTTTCCATGTTCATGAACTCACGTCAGCCAATGCCCTCCTCCAGGAAGAAACCACAGCCAATCGGAACACCAGACCAGGTGTAAAATCTATGGAGAGAAAAATAACGGAGAAAACAAAAACAGTTCAAATAACAGCAGCATAAATACAGACAGATCACAAGAAAAACAAAAAATTATGATGTCTCTAAACAAAATTGTCCATAAAGTAATTTTCCTCTGTCGGCCAATGTGGGGCGATGAAGGGCAAAATCCAAGACAAAAACAAAATGATCAAGGAGGATTCCTGAAGGACAACAGAGAGGTGCAGGTTTAAGGTCAAATCCTTTAACAACTCAGAATGAAATTGTAATTATTCAACATACATAACCATCACTTAAACAGCAAAATACTTGCAACATTTCTTGAGAAAGACTGCTGAACCGGATGGTAGGACCACTAAAGTCATCCATCAGTGTGGGCGATGAGTGCCTTTTCCATCGTCACTCCATCGTTGGGGCAATGATCCAGGAGGTTTCTGAAGGACAACAGGAGAGGAGGACTACAACAGGATGGGTGCAGGTTTAACCCTTTAACAAATCAAAATGAAATTATCACTATTCAAAAACATATGTAGCCATCACTTAAACAGCAAAACACAGCAAAACACCTCCAGCATTTCCTGATGAAGTCTGCTGCCTATGGTAGGGTCACTAAGGTCCTCCATCAGTTGGGGAGGTGATGAGTCTTTTCCGTTGTCGTCGGGGCGATGCAGACCTTTTCTGTCGGTTGATGGGGGTCCAATGAAGGGCGAAATCCAGGACAAAAACAAGCAGCCGGGATGAGACTTAGTGCATCCAAATCCGAGGCCATGGTCTTGAGCCGGAAAAGGGTAGAGTGCCTTCTCCGGGTCAGGGGGGTCGTCCTGCCTCAAGTGGAGGAGTTTAAGTATCTGGAGATCTTGCTCATGAATGAGGGAAGAAGGGAGCGGGAGATCGACAGGCGGATTGGTGCAGCGTCTGCCGTGAAGCGAGCGCTGTGAAGAGAGAGCTGAGTCAAAAAGCGAAGCTCTCAATTTACCGATCGATCTACGTTCCTACCCTCATCTATGGTCATGAGCTTTGGGTCATGACCGAAAGAACGAGGTCCCGGATACAAGCGGCCGAAATGGGTTTCCTCCGCAGGGTGGCTGGGCTCTCCCTTAGAGAGAGAAGCTCGGCCATCGGG